TAAAAACAATTTTAGCATTTCAATATAAGAAAAAAGAATTTTACCATTTCTGGCCAAAAACACATGGATCATCCGAACTAATTCCTTACCTTTTTTCTTCTTTTAATTCGGGTTTTTATCACACGACTAATTCCCAGAATAAATTTCTTATTATTTTTCTTATCGGTTAAAATATAATATTTGGATATGAACGTGAAAAAAAAAGAATTGGGACAGGATCAGTTACCCGTTCTGGAAATGGACATGCCTAGTAACTCTGTTTCTATTTTCAAATGGATCATAAGCATAATGCATCATGTACATATATATATTTATTATTGCAAATTAATTTCAATAAAACTCTGCATTTAAGAGAAGAAAAAGGGAAGAAAGAATATTATTGCAACAAATGTTTCACCAAAAAAAAAAAACAAAGTAGAGAGGTTTATCTAGTCTGGAAGTTGAGAGTCCTGATGCAAAAGGCAAAGATGAATGCAAAGAAGACAGTGAAGCCAACAAGAACAGCTGCAACAGGGCCCATGAAATCTGACTCAAAACCATATTGGTCTTTAATGTACTGTTTCACAGTGAGTCCAGGAGCACCACCAAAGATAGGAGTCTCAACGTCACCGTATTGAGATGTGATCAAGCCATATATGGTCCAAGCAACAGGGCAAATCCAATAGTACCAAACCCACCACTTGGGAATTTTGGGTCTAGGAATGAAGAAACCCGAAAAAAGATTAAAAATACCATAGAAAGCTGATGCAAAGATAGAAGCAACTTGCTGGTTAGGTGTGAGTGAGACAGTCATCATGCCATAGTAAGTCCAGTAGAGGAAAGAGAAGTAATTGATGAAGATAAACCACAGGAACTTGGATGCTTTCCACTCGAACCCGACCATTGCGTAGACGATAAGCGAGTAGTATGTGGTCTGAGCCAAGACATAAGGTAGCTCACAAGCAACTTGAGAGATTGCGTAAGGTATAGCTGAGTACATGCCAGCTGCTTTTTCTCTGTAGAAGACTGTTCTTTCCACTACAACCATTGGTTGTACAGTGGAACAGTTGTTTACTCCAACGAATACACTTGCTGCATAGATTGCTCCAATCACCATAGTCAAATCTTGTATGTTTGATCTCTTACCTCCGATTTGCCAGAAAACAGAACCGACCATAAGAGCTGTTACTAATGTGAAAATGACTCTGACAGCGTTATAGTCAGGAGATCTCCAATAAGTCCACCATTGTTTCCATAGACATGATTTGAATTGTCCCCATGTGTTCTGTGAAAACTGCGTCGCAAAGTAGAGATCACTCACTCCTTGCGGTGGCACGCTTAGTTCTTGTACCAACGCCTTATTCCGCCTGTGTCAAACAATTCATATGTAGAATTAGATCATTTGTCATATATATAAATGTATTTGTGTTGTGATCACTTACTGGTATAAAGAGGAAGACTTGTATAGCTCAGCAAAATCAACTCCAAGTTTCAACTCGGCCGCAAGGGAGCTGGCTTCCAGCATCCAAGTGGCCGGGTTGTATTTTTCCGGAATCTTTGGCACTCCAGGAATGGCTTCAAAGTACTCAACAACTTTGTGTGAGTTTCGACCTAAAGGACCAGAGTAGATCACTTGACCTCCTCTCTTCATTAGTAGTAATTCATCAAACGCCTCAAAGATATCGATACTCGGTTGGTGGATGGTACAGACCACAGTCCTCCCTGTGTCCACTGTGTTTCTTACCGCCCTCATCACAATAGCAGCTGCTCTAGCATCCAACCCTGAAGTAGGCTCGTCCATAAAAATGATTGAAGGGTTAGCTACAAGCTCAACCGCGATTGTTAATCTTTTTCTCTGTTCCGTGGAAAGCCCCGTGACTCCCGGTAAACCAACGATTGAGTCTTTTAGATTCACCAACTCAACCAGTTCCATAACTTGATCCACAAACATCATTTTTTCCTCTTTGCTTACTTCTTTCGCAAGGCGAAGAAAAGCGGAGAAAATAAGTGACTCTCTTACTGTAACTTGTGGTGAGTGAATATCTGTTTGTTCACAGTAACCAGAGATTCTAGCGAATGTTTCTTGTTTCTTTGGGAATCCAGATACTCTAACATCTCCTTCTATGTATCCACCGGTTTTTCTTCCAGCCAAAACATCCATCAAAGTTGTCTTCCCCGCGCCGCTCACTCCCATCAATGCTGTCAAAACTCCTGGCCTAAACGCGCTTGTTATTCCTTTTAGAAGTTGCAACCTTGTTTCTGAAACTCCTTGGTCTCTCATTTCCTGCATCATCAAACTTTATGTAAGTTTTTGATCGCTTGTAATAAAAAATTCAACTAGCTAGTGTTCAAAGGATTAATTACCGAAGGCATGTCAACAAAGTATTTAACATCGTCAAAGGACAAAGCTAGAGGAGTGAAAGGAAGAACCATTCCTTTCTTGGTGCTTATACTCTCCATTGGAATCTCTCCTGCTTTTTTTGTTTCTTTCAATATTAGTGAGATAAAAGAGTTTAAATTCTTAAAACGTTAACAAAGGAAATGAATACTTACTATTGGATCCATTTCCGCTAGTAATAGGTTTGTTTGCTTGTTCTTTCTCTTCGTCTTCTTCTTTCGGAATCACGGCTTGTGGCTTCCCAAGTGCTGTTTTTATGTCATGATGCATAATAGAAGACATGTTAATATATTTTTTTGAGCTTAGTGACACAAAAAAATTGTCAAATACAAAAAGAAACTTACGGTCTAGATAAGCAAGTGCGAGTGTGAAAAGACCATTGAAGAGGATAGTAAAACCAAGCAAGCCTCCAATTCCTATCCAATACCAATTCTCATCATCAAATACATCCCACATGTTAAGCACCCTTGTTCCCAGACTCGTTGAGTTATCAGAAGACTGCAAAATTTTCACCACAAACAAAAATAAATGAGACTTTGTAATCAATTTACTTGTGTTATGATGATGATTAAACAAAAATTTCAAAAGTACTTACCCTTTTATCCATCCATCTAGAAGCAGACAATTCATTGACACTTATGGCATTGAAAGCATATGAAAGAGGAGATATCCAATAAGCCCATCTCCACCAAACCGGTATCTCTCTATGAGGAAGAAGGAACCCTCCGGTCAAGAACACGACTAGTATAACGACCACACCACCAGTGTTAGCTATGGTCATGGTTCTACAAGTAGATGCAATGAACCTGAATATCCCAGCAGCCATTTGTTGGATAAAAAAGACGACCAAGAACTGTTTAAAGAACCGTTCCGCATCGGGTGCGAATCCTATGGAGTAATATGTCACAACCATCCATGCCGAAGACTCGAAGATTGAGATTGGAATACCTAGCAAGAAAGTGGGAAGAGTGTATGTCCATGGTGGATGAAACAGAAGATCCCTTTGCTTGTAGAACACGGGAAGTCTCTGTATCGTCATGGCCATCTCCGCAAGACCGTTAAACATGTTGATAATCATTGCAAACAGCATTGCACCGACGTAAACATTTGCGTCAATCTCGTTCCTTGTTTTCATTTCTGTTCTTAGGAACAGAGTAGACGTGATCAAGGCGATGATGATGATTTGGACGGTTTTGAATACATAGAAGAAAGAGTTTCGTTTCATGAGCATCCACTCTTTGTCCCAACAGCTTTTGAGAAGCTCTGATTTCCTTATTGAGTACTTGTCGAATACTAGAGCTGCTTTGTGGCATTTAGACTTGTCGTACGGTACTGATAGCTCGTTCGAAAGCTGTGCTCCAACATGGAATTTCTTGAATCTACTTGCAAACTCTGACACTGGAATGTATCTATAAGGGTTTCTTTGATCCACCCAATACTGCTCTTGATCTTTCTTAGAGGTAACCTGTATCCACACATTATGTCATTACCAGATCCAAGTATGAATATAAAGCTAGATAAATTTCTATAATATATAATAAATTTACCTCTTGCAAGAAATCAGCTGTTCCTTTTCTTTCAGGGCACTTGAAGCCAAAGCTCTCAAAGAACTCTAGAATGTTGTCTCTAGGTCCTTGGTACACAATCTGACCTTCCGACAATAGGATTATATCGTCGAATAGGTCAAAAGTCTCAGGAGCTGGCTGAAGAAGAGATATGAGGACAGTGGCTTCCGTGAGGTGAACTATTTGTTGCAGGCATTTCACGATTTGGAAAGTAGTGGAGCTGTCAAGTCCGGTGGATATCTCATCCATGAACAGAGTCTTAGTTGGTCCGACGATCATTTCACCAGTTGTCACACGCTTTTTCTGACCTCCTGAAATACCTCTCATCATGTCATCTCCAACTATAGTGTCCTTGCAAATGTCAAGCCCTAGAATCTGTTTCATCAAAAGTTTGTCCATAAGAAGCTTTACAAGTATTATAACTACATAACTGGTCTACTAGAAGATTTATCATCTAACTTGAATAATTATAATTAAGAACCAAAACATCTTATCCAACACACTATATGCATGGTTTGTAACTAGACAAATATAGTACATGGCCGCTACTGAGTCCAAGCATATCAAGCATGGGCTTGTGGCGTTCTACAAAACGGCTCATTTTTTCATGAAAATGTGCATTATTTTTTTCTACTTTGCGGTCTTCTAAAATTCATGACCGGCTTTGAGCCTAATATAGATATTCTCCTATAATTTAGGATAAAAAAGGTTTAAGGTTGAAAGAGGCTGACTTTGAGAGTGTAATCAGTGATGAGACTACTCTTGACGCCTTGAGCAGCAGAGGCCTTCATGAACAAATCAACTTCAGCTTCCGGAAAAATCCCAGCGTCCTTTTCTCTCCTTGCAAGCTCATGTAGAAGATCTACCAGAGATTACAAAATAAGATTATTCATTCGACAAAAATGTACCAAAATGTGAAATGTTTAGTTAAGAGTAAGATCATACCGTAACGAGTACCAACGCCTTGACACCGAGCAGAGAAATCAAGAGTCTCCTTAACGGTCATGATACCGACATGAAGATCGTTTTGGCTAATGTAAGCAGAGGTTTTGATAGGAACAAACTCGTTGAGACGGTAACCATTATATGTTACATCACCAGAAATGTCAAGAGATTTGTCGAGTTTACCGGCAAGAGCCAACAAAAGCGTGGTCTTCCCTGAAGAAGGAGGACCCAACAAGAGTGTCATTCTTGAAGGTTTAATGATCCCTGAAACATCTTTGAGGATAGTTAGCTGCGCTTTCTCGGCGAGATGAATACCGATCATGCCTAGAGCAGCTTCTCCCATGTTCCTCACGAAGTTGATAAGCGAAGGAAGAGATCTATCACCAGTGTAACAGTCAGCTTTCACAGTTAAGTTTTCGTACCTCACTTCCACTGTCGGAAGTTGGATCCCAACACGGTTGATCCTGTTCCTTAGCTTGCTCAAGATCCGTTCGTTGTCCTGTTCTGCTACTTTGAAGACCATGTCTATGAACTTCTGACGACCTTCTCCGTCTAGCTTGGTGACATCTACTTCCTTGTTCAAGATTTGGTTACCGTAAAGATCTTCTTCTCCAAGTGCAGGCATGAGACTGGTTCGGAGACGGTTGTATGTAGGGAGTTTCTCTATGGCTGCCCATTTGAGAGCTTCTTCGTCTTCGTTGATTGATTTTGTTTGTCTTGAGCTTGTTGAGAATACCTCCTCGAAGTTTCTACTGGCTTTGCTCATACTACGGCTTATGGTTTGCCGCATACTCCCAACTCTGCTTACAGGTTGAGCTGGATCGTAATCCATGTTTGGATCCGATGAATGAATCTCTCGGATCTTGATTCTACTTACGTTAATGCTTATTCTTCTTCTTTCTTTTAGACTATAGACTGAAGAGAGGACCCATATTTGAGAATTTGGTGTTGGAGAAACAGAGGAAGTTAAGCAAAGATTTGTCGAGTTAAGGACAAGAAGAATGTAATGAGAGAGAGAAATGATTCTGTTACACT